AACTGTGCCAGACCTTTTCCCTATCCCTGGAGGGTGTGACCCCACCCACACCTCATCCCCATGAGAGGCCCCTGTGATGAGCTTCAAGATGGGGAGAGCCTGTCTGTCCCAAGCCAGCCTTCCAGCCTCTCTGCCTGCCTAGAGGAAGGAGCACTCTGGGCACATGTAGGCAAGCCCGGCCTGCTCCCCACATCCATGAGGACCCCAGGCCTGAGTCCTAGATGCTGTCTTGGCTGCCCTGCCCCTCTCCCCCTCCCCCCCTCCATGCTGATGCTCTGAGGCCTCCTGCGGCTCTCCTGCTCACCCTTCCCTGGAAACTCCTCTGCCCTCTCTGGTACAGACCCCTCCCTCCACGATCCGGACACAGCCTCCTCCCTGGCTTCCTAAACCACTGCATGGCCTCCTTAGCCCCTGCTGTAAAACCTTCAGTGAGCCCCTCTGGATGGCTTTGTCCCCTCAGTCTGTCCTTCAGTGCCCTACCTGGTCTGGTCTGCACTTTCCTAACTTAAGGGTCTCTCTCTCTCTCTTTTTTAAAAATATTTATTTGGCTGCGCCGGGTCTTGGTTGTACTGCACGCGGGATCTTTGTTGTGGCATGCGGACTCTTAGTTGCGGCATGCAGGATCTAGTTCTCTGACCGGGGATCGAACCCGGGCCCCCTGCATTGGGAGCACGGAGTCTTACCCGCTGGACCAGCAGGGAAGTCCCCTAACGTTTTCTTACTAGTAAGATGCCACTCCCACTTCATGCAACACTCTCACTGCCATCCCCTTGCTGAGTCTTGCTCATCCCCTGCAAGGTTATCTCCTGGAAAATTGTAACAAGGAAGAGCCAAATCTGACTACATGTCGAATCTGTTTCTTTTACTTTAACCTTTGCTTTCCGCTGCTTTTGTTCACTAAAAGGATATCGTGTATGGCTTCCCTGGTGGCGCAGTGGTTGAGAGTCCGCCTGCCGATGCAGGGGACGCGGGTTCGTGCCCCGGTCTGGGAGGATCCCACATGCCGCGGAGCGGCTGGGCCCGTGAGCCATGACCGCTGAGCCTGCGCGTCCGGAGCCTGTGCTCCGCAACGGGAGAGGCCACACGGTGAGAGGCTCCCGCACCCCACCGCAAAAAAAAAAAAAAAAAAAAGGATATTGTGTATACATAATGGCCTGCCTCAGGGAACCCTGCCCCTCTGCCAGAATGTTAAACGAAGTGCCTTTTGTTCAGGCAAACATCCGGACCCTGTCCGCCCGTGGATGGCTAAGAGAAAGAAGAAATTAACACTTAACACATCCCTTCCCGGAGGCTGGCCATTCCAGGGGATATTTGCAAAACGTCTGGCCTTTTTACTTTACTGCCTCTCTCCTCCCGCTCTGTGCTATAAAAGAAACTGGCATCCAAACCCCGATAAGATGGTTATTTTGAGACTTTAGTCTGCCATCTTCTCCGTCTGCTGGCTACACCTTGTCTCCGATTTATTGGCCTGTCCTGCGGCAAGCAAAACTCCTCAGCTGATGAGTCTTATGCCACCCTGGCCTCAGGCTTCCGTGGCCTGCTGTCGTCAGGTGCCGCTGAGGTGGAGCCTGGGTCTTCACCTTTTGTTCCCTCATTGGCTGGACCGGGTAAAGCAGCTCAGGGGTTCAGTTCCACGTCAGGGTTCTCCTCCCACCGCCGGCCTGGAGCTGGAAAGCGCCCTGGAGAACAGAAAGGAGGAGGCCTTCCCCAACCCTCCTTCTGCCACCTGATGCTTCAAAGGACTTCGGCCCCACCCTGCTCTGCTATGTGTGTTCTTGGGAGTGGTACGGCCCAGACCGTCCCTGGCATCTGGAGCCTGCCGAGAGCTTGTCCCTCTGGCCCTACCTCACGCACTCTGAGTCCTCCCCACCCAGGGCCAGGCCTGGCCTGACCTGAGACGCCTGCACTAAACCTCTGGTCAGTAGGAATCATGACAGCAGTTTCTTGATCCAGGGAGGTGCTGAGAGTGAGGTGGCAGTGCTATGGGCCCAGCCGGCAGGCTGACTGAGAGGGTGGGGGACCAGCCAGGCAAGAGACACGACCCGGACCTGCGGCCCGGGACAACAGGCCCATCCCTGCGTAGAGAGAGGGAGGGCACACGGTGAACTATCAGGAGAAACAGCGTTGTTGGGACAGCCAGGAAAAGCGCGGGTCAGGAGGCAGGTGCCCGGCTGCTAGGTTCATCAGAGCCACAGACGGGCTGAGCAGCCTAGGCAGAGGGGCGCTACCTCTCTGGTCTCATCACCAGTAAAATGAGGCTCTTACAACGCATGTGGCTTCTCTGGTCTGGCAGAGTTGGGAGGTGGGGGTTATGGAGACTTGTGGGCGGGGCGCTGGGAAGGGGAGGGGAGCAGAAGGGAGGGGAAGAGGGCCCCCCAACCAGGCTTTTGTAACCCTGCTGCCCCCTAGTGGTGACACAGAGTAACAGAGACATGGTCTCCCGGGGGGGAACGCAATGCTGGTCACACCCCGCCTCCCCTAGACAGGGAAAGGAAATTCACGGTTAGGGACTTTAGCGGACACCGCCTCCCTCAAGGCTGCGTGTGTTCTGGGTGGAGGGAAAGGCAGCCCCAGCCAATGCACAAGTACCCACAGCCATACACAGAATAGCGTGGCTACCTCACTCCTGTATTCATTCTGCAAGCGCCGAGGGAGGCTCTGTAGTTTGCAGGGGCACTGGGCCAGGCCCTGGGGATTTAGAGCCCCTTGGCACACCATTCCTGCCCTCAGAGAGCCTCTGTCCAGGGGGGAGCAGACAGGCACATCAGAGACTCTGGGGAAAATAGGAGACTGCTCTGAGGCGTGACTGTTGTGTGAGTAACACTTGGGAAGCACGTGGCCGGCAACCGTGGGGCTGTCTGACTATTGGTTTCTCCTGGGCACGTGGCTCCAGCCTGCTGGGTCCGGAGGCCTTTGCCACTAGTTTAGGGGAGTCTTTTCCTGCAGGGCCTTCCAGCGATCTGTGTCGCCCTCCCTGCAGGAGAGCTGGATTTCTACCGCTGCTGTCCTGCCCCCACCCTGGCTGGGAACAGGCGCAAGGGGGACAGCAGACCTTGCCTCGCTCCTACAGCCTCCTCTATCTACACCTGCCCTCCCCAAACCTGGTCTGGGGACCTGGGTTCCAAACACAACAGAGAACATTAGGTCTCAGCTGCATCTTCCCCTCCCAGGCTGGTGCTCTGCGGGCCTTCCAGCTCCAACCACACGGCATGGGGCAGGTGACAGGGGGCCCAACTGCCACCCCACCAGGGCCCTGCCCTGACCTTCAGAGACTAGGCTGGAGCTCAGTAGGCAGCACGTGGAGAGGGTGGGAGAAGCAGCAAGTGTGTGTGTGTGTGTGTGTGTGTGTGTGTAGCCTGGGTGCGTCACCGTCACTGGGAATGTAGACGAGTCTGACTCAGTGGGAACATCCGGCATGAAAGGAAGAGAGAGCACAGTGGCATTTCCAAGCAGGATGGGAACTCTGGGTGGTGGAGACTGGCCATGGGGTCAGGGTTGCTGCTCCAAGGCCTGGCCTAGAAAGAGGCTAAGTGTGGTGGGGAGGGGGGAGGGGAGGGGAGACAGGAAGGGGTAGTTCAAGGGGAGCAGAGGTTGGACCTCTGACTGCCTGGGCTGGTCTGGGTAGGAGAGAGGGCAGCAGGGCTTTCTGCTCTGGAGACAGAAGGGGACAAGTCATGCATGGAATTAGAGAAATAGGCCTGGTCAATCAGGGATGAGGGGAAATGCAGGGACTTCCGACCTGCCCTTCAGGGCCTGGAGGTTGGGCACCTGTTACTACTGAACCAGACCCCAGGTGCTCCTGATATGGAGAGACCACCCCTCCTCCCAGAGGCACTAAGGGTGGGATTGCCAGGCAAGCTGCTCCCCTGGGCAGAGACAGCAGGCTCAGATGCACTGGGAAGATCTGGGGAGAGACTTTCCCAGGAAACGTTGCTTCCTTTCTCGGAGAGAGGCTGAAAGGGCCATCCCTGGAGAACAAGGCCAGGAAAGGCCCAAGTTAGGAGCCAAGGGGGAAGGCTGTTGGCCAGCCCTGAGCTGTGGCAGTGCGGACCCTGAGGGATGCTCCCCGCACCAAGGGGTGACCTGGACAGCTGAGCATTCCAGGAGTAACTGTACTTGAAGATACAGGGAAGGGCTTCCCTGGTGGTGCAGTGTTTAAGAATCTGCCTGCTAATGCAGGGGACACGGGTTCGAGCCTTTGTCCGGCAAGATCCCACATGCTGCGGAGCAACTAAGCCCGTGTGCCACAACTACTGAGCCTGAGCTCTAGAGCCCGCGAGCCACGACTACGGAAGCCCGTGTACCTAGAGCTCGTGCTCCGCAACAAAAGAAGCCACCGCAATGAGAAGTCTGCGCACCACAACGAAGCGTAGCCCCCGCTCTCTGCAACTAGAGAAAGCCAGCGCGCAGCAACGAAGACCCAACGCAGCCAAAAATAAAAAATAGGTGAAATAAATAAATATTAAAAAAAAAAAATATATATATATATATATATAAAGAAAATACAGGGAAGACAATGTTGAACCTAAAGGAATGAATGACAAATGGTGTTATTTTAGGTATGTGGTAGTACTTGGTGGCCTAGGGGAGGGGAGCTTCTTAATCCCTTCGAACTACTTAAACCAGAACTGATGGGGAGAGTGAGGGGACAGGGGATGCTCATTTGAATTGGGCCCCTTGGACCAGGGAGCACAATGGGCCGGGCTATAGGTCTTTCTCTACTAATGGGAGGGCAAGAGGGCTACTTGGCTGCCCATCTGTCTGCAGGCAGGCCCAGGCTGGGGTCCCACTGGAGCATAGGGCCCCCTGTGTGGACTCAACCCTCCAGGGAGAAGTCCCTGCCAGTCTGTCTGGGGATGCCGCGGCAGGGCAGGGAGAGGTGCTGGGCAGGGCCAGCTGGCGGCCGCGGCCCTGATCCTCGCCCTCTGAGGGTGGATGGTGAGGGCGGTGGCCACGGCGTTCCTGGCTGGGAGCCCAGAGGAGTCTTTTGTAATCACAACATGATCTCGTGTGCTGGGCGGTGAAGCCGGCAGGGAGAGGCCGGCAGAGGCCCGGCTCCAGTGGCTCCAGCTTCCCTCCTGCTCTGGCTCCCCCAGGGCTGCTCTGGAAATCTCTCAGTGCCTGCTGTTGCCATGCACTCGGCTGTGAGTTGCACCTTGCCTTTGGCGGGGGGCTTCTTGGGGCTGGGGCATCAGGCGGCCACACTCTGGGGGCAGCTGGGGGCAGCTGGGCCTGGGAGGAAGAGGGCTGTGCCTATGCCGGTGGGGGGCTGGGCAGGGGCATCAGCCACAACGGGGTCCCTGCAGCCAGAGAAGGAGGGACTCGGGGATCTCGGTGCTGAGGCACAGTGTGCCCCGGGGTGGCTCCCTGGCTGGGCCTGCCCTCAGAGCTGGCTCTTTCCTGCCCCGACTGACTGTCGGCAGCTCAGGGCCTGGAGAGGCTGGGCCCGTGGGAGTGGCTCTTTCCCACAGGCTGGGCACAGTTTTGGGGTGTGGGGTCCGGGGCCTGGGAGCTGAGGACAGAGCAGGGGCCTCTCTTTTCACCATGGTTCTTGGCCTGGGAGCCAAACAGCACCCCCCTCGACCTCCTGAATACCCTGGCAACTTCCCAGTCACGGCAGGTTCCGCTGCCAGAGCCATTTATAACTCCCATTCCAGGCTCTGCTCTGCAGTGGAGCTCCCAGGAGAGCTGGGGGGAGGGGCAGCCACTGCTGGGAGCTGCAGGCCTGGGTATGAAGCCCCGGCCTGAGCCTCAGAGGTGGCAGGAAGATGGGCACAGAGGCCAGCGGGGTGGGGCTGGGGGGCCTTCCATGGGCCATCTCCCCACGTGACCCTCACTCCGGGTCTGGAGTCTGCTCCTTGCCTGGTAAGAGCATGGTAGAGTGGGCGAATGTGAACGTAGAGGGACTGGTAAGGGATGGGCCCAGCAGTCAGGAGCTTGGGCCCCCTGGCCTCTGCAGGGGCCTCAGGGGGCCGAGTCCCCAATGAGCAGGCAGGAGAAGGATGCAGAGCTGGACAGGAGGATCGTTGCCCTTCGCAAGAAGAACCAGGCCTTACTGCGCAGGTACCAGGTGAGTGCGCTGTGATGGGCCGGGAGGACTGACCGGGTTGGCACTCCCTGTCCGATCTGCAGACCCTGAATGGTTGTCTCTCCCTGCAGGCTCTGGGCCTGGGACCAGGGTTAGGTTGGGTGCGTTCCATCTCAGGGGGCTCTGTGAGGGTCCTGGGGACTCTGTGATGTAGTGCCTCTGCCCCCTGGTGTCCCACTGGTGTCTCTCTGTGTAGGCCTGTCGACATCTGTTTCTCTGTGCACTTGGGGGGCCATGGCCTGTGCTGACCCTGGGCCCTCCCACAGGAGATCCAGGAAGACCGTCGGCAGGCAGAGCAGGGGGGCATGGCTGGGACCACGCCGGAGCTCCTCCGTCCTGACGGCCTCACTGTCACCATCAGCCAGGTTCCTGGAGTAAGACCCACCCAGCAGACAGGGTGGGGTGGCAAGGAGGTGGAGGGCCAGCCCGTGCCAGGGGAGCACAGCTGCCCCCGCTCCTCTGCTTCTCCCGCTTACATTCTGGGGCATACCTACCAGCTCCCAACCTCATGCAGCCCAGGCCACTGCTGGCCCCCATCCCCAAAGAGCCACAGCTGAAAGGTGACCAGATAGAAGCCTCTTTATGCCCTTTTCCAGCCCCAGAGCTCTGCACCCGTACCCCCAAGCACAGGCCGCTCGTAAACCCCAAACCCCAGGGGCACAGAGACGTTGGGGCTGAATGCCAGGAACAGCGTCTGAGGGACAGAGCCTCATTGTCTGAGTGCTTTGGATTTCCCAGCTCAGAGATGATGGGCCACTGTGGAGTCTTGGGCCCCTGGGTGGCCCCAGGCCCGGATAACCTAATGCCACTGGTATGTGAACGCCTCGCAGCGTCAGCTCCCCTGTGGGCATTCCAGGGAGGGCCAGGGCTGGAACCCAGCCTGGGGAACCACCCAAAGGGCCCAAGTCCCAGCTTCTGTCCAGTGCTGTCTATGTGGCGTGACAGCACGGCCCCTCATTCTGCAGGGGAAGCGGGTGGTCAGCCGGAACTGGGCAAGGAGCGCCCTTGGACCTGGAGCAGCCAATGAGATGCTGGAAGATGAGGAGGCAGAGGCCCACGCGGGCGCCTTCCGCGTGGGGGAGCGGGTGGAGCTGGCTGTGATCATGGAAAACAAAGCCGAGGTGAGCAGTGCTGGTGGGGGGAGCCGGGGGCCAGGAAGGCAGCCTCTTCTCTGGCCCTGCCACACTGCCCATCCGCACCTTCCCCAGGCCAAGCGGATCGTAAGTGAGAAGCCCACCAGAGCAAGGAGCCAGGGGGCAGAAGGGTCACCTGGAGGGGGCTTGGGCCGGAGCCCCTCCATGCAGATGGCCATCAGCTCAGATCCTGCCCGGAAGGTAGCTCTTCAAGAGGGGCTGGGGACACGAATGTGGTGGTCCCCTTTCGGGGGAGGCATAGACGCTGAGTCGCATATGTGCCCCTTTGCGAGGACGTGGCCCAGGCAGGACCTGCAAGAATCTCCCACTCCTTCTTCCTTTCTCTGGCCAGCCTCCGCGTTGGGTGGGTCTTGCAGTGAGAGACAGTGTAAGCCAGAGGCGTGACCTAGCCCCTTACCCTACCTGGACATCTGGTAGCAAGCTGTGGTGGTGGTGGTGGGGTCTGGAGGTCTGTCAGGAGGGTGTAAGAGACTGGCCATGTGCCAGGTGTGACCTCTAGGTGGCAGCAGCCCCCAGTCTTGGTTCTCGCTCACAGCCGCTGGGTGCCTCTCCACCCTGCCTGCACCTGACCACACACCCCAGCGACAACTCTGTGGATAGATCCTGTTATTATCCCCATTTTACAGATGAGGAAATGACACACAGAGAGGTTAAGTAACTTGCCCAAAAGACACCACTAACGCGTGGACGGAAACCGTGCCTATAGCAAACAACATGTTAGAGATGGAATGGATCTAATTTTTTTGGTGGGGGGACCTCAAGACCTTGAGAGAGGAAGGGGTTAGTAGACTCTGGATCCCCATTCCAAGCTCAGGGCTCTTTCTGCTTCGACCCCGTGGTGCTTTGTGTCTTCTCCCTGCAGGGTGTCCGGGAGCCCCAGAGTCCAGGCCTGGTTCCAGGCCCAGCTCCCCGTCGGCCAGTGGGGGGGCCCCCGGAGGCGGGCTGGGACTACGCCCAGTGGAAGCAGGAGCGAGAGCAGATCGACCTGGCCCGCCTGGCGCGGCACAGAGACGCACAGGGTGACTGGCGCCGCCCGTGGGACCTGGACAAGGCCAAGCCCACGTGGGTGGCAGGGCTGGGCATTCTGCTGGGTCGACATGCTTGTGGGGCTGAGTCGGGCTAACTGTGGGTGTCTCTTGGAGGGCTGCTGGGACCCTCCCCAGGGTGGTGAGGCTCTGCCTGACCCTCTGTTCGGACCCTGGGCTCAGGGTTGTGTGTGGGCACTGCGTTTCCCACCTTTCTTGGGCCCACCCTCTCCATGCTGTCCTTGGTTCCGTGGCTGGGCTTGGGGCTGGGACTGGGGCAGGAGGTGTCGGCCCACCAGCAGCCTTGCAGCCTCTGTGCTCCCTGCCAGCAGCCCACCTGACTCCCTCTCTCTGCAATGCAGGCCACAGGACTCCAGCAAGCCTCGGGAAGAGGGCCCGGCCAGGGTGGGCAGCACGAGGGGTGAGCCAACACCCACCCCTCCTGGATTTTTTCACTCCTTGCCCCCGCTTCCTCTCTGTTCCCTGTCTCTTGGTTTACCACTTATTTTCAGAGCTGGAAGGAAGCATGGAAGGACATCTTCCTTCCTCTCCCTCCCTATCAGAGGAGGGCACCACTTCCCATCCTCCGAACCCACAGCCCCTGTCCTAGATTCTGACCCCAGAAGATCTGGGGAGAAGGGCTCACCAGGAGGTCAGCGCTGGAGTCCTTTTGAGGTGTTGGTCCCTTGTGGGCAGCAGCTGCCCCTCGCCTGTTATAGGAACAGAACTCTGCGTCACTGGCCCCTCATTTTACACACAAGGGAGCTTGAGGCTGGAGAGGCTCCCGGTCACCTAGTCAGGAGTGACACAGCGAGCACAGGGACGCAGCTCCCCTGACCCCCAGGCCAGGGCTCTTTTTTGGGAGCCAGAACACTCACAGCTGGCAGCTTCCTGTTCCCGAAAGAACTGATGTTCCTGCTTTGGGTCTTTTGTGACGCCCACCCTTTCCCCATTTCCTTTTTCCACTTAGGCCCCAGGAGCCACCAAAAGCTACAGCCCCCACTGTTTCCCCCTGATGGCAAAGGTGAGTTGGGACAGGAGGAGGAGCAGGTCCCGTGTGCTGGTGAAGGAGCTGGGCTGCTATGGACCTCTTCTCTCTTGATTTGTGGACCATCTCTTGCAGGCGGTACTACTTGGGGTGGGCAACCCAGCAGACCTTTGGTGGCGCTGGCCACGCACAGCAAAGCCCGGGGGACAGAGAGGCTGACTGGCAGGGCCCGCAGGTAACGTGGCAGGGAGCAAAATCGAGGGAGGCATCAGGGCTCCCTAATTTCCTGGCCCTCCCCTGCCCCTGGGAGGTCAGGCCCAGCACTGGCCCAGGTGCCTGCTCCAGCCCCCGGGGCCTCTGCCTCTTGGCTGACTGCTGCCTTATGGCAGGTTAATGAGATGCGGGGAGAGGCCATCAGCAAAGGCAGCAGCAGCGAGAGCCTGGTGTCCAGGGACGCTGGTGGTAATTACAGCAGTTACCTCCCCTGGGAAGTCAGGCACGCCTTTCCCAGGCAGTGCAGGCCAGGACACGCACGGAGTCCCCACAGAACTCAAGGTGCTGCAGGCTTGGCCATAAACAGCAGCTGGGGACCTGCAACGGGGCTACGGTGGGCAGTGTTCTGAGGAAGTGGCTGGGTTTGGGGAGGAAGGTTGGGCTGGAAGGGAAGCATCCTGGAGCCTCGTTCTGGCTCTGAGGTTCCTCTGAGACCCTTGGGCTCTCGCTCCTCCCTGGGGGACATGGGCTGCTGGCTACGGAGCAGGTGACGTGAAGTGGGATGGGTAGTAGTGGGGCCTGCCATGTTCTGTGTTTCCGCAGGTGGGAAATGAAGGGAGGCAAGAAGGAGCTGGAGAGCCAGGAGGTGGGTACTTGGGCATAGGATGGGGTGGGCTAGGGGCATGAGCCCTGAATTCACCAACCAGCAGAGCCGACCTCTTGTTGTCAGGGAAGCCCAAGCACCAGAAGGACTCCAGATGAGAAGGAACATGCGCAGACTCCAAGCAGGATGGAGCCCGGCGGACCCATGAGTGTCCCAGCAACCAGCCCAGCTCCAGCATCAGCATCACCAGAGGAGCCGAAAGGGGAGTCAGGAGCTTCAACAGCCAGTCCTGAGCCTGGCTCTCCACGAAACACGGACTTGCTTCCCCTCGACCTCTCTCTAGGATGTGCCTGTAGCCCTGGGCCCGGGGAGAGCACATGTGTGCTCAGTCCAAGGCCTGGGACCCAGGAGAGCCCTGTGTCCTGGCTGGAGGGTCACGAGCAGCCCCTGGGGTGGACCGAGCCCCAGGCTGAGCCAGAAGCCCAGACTTGTTGTGGGCCCCCAAAAGAGGCAGGGCCCCTGGAACCCAGAGAAGACAGGCCTGGCAAGGCAGGGGCCCAGCAGGTCCTGGCACCTCGAAGCAGACCCCCCAGAGGAGGCAGCCAAAGGGTGAGGGGCACAGGAGGTATGAGGCGCAGGACAGGGGGTCCTGCCCCTGCAAGAAGATGCTGAGCAAAGCTCTCGGGGGCAGGGGGCCGGGCTGGGGAGGGGAGGAGGGAAGACACCGTCAAAAATCTTTGAGCTCTGGGCTTCCCTGGTGGTGCAGTGGTTGAGAGTCCGCCTGCCGATGCAGGGGACACGGGTTCGTGCCCCGGTGT